GGGTGAGAGAACAGTGATCAAATGATAGAATTTGAAGAGGTACACTTATATTATAGAAGCAGACATAACAGGGGTGTTTAAACAAAGATCATACAAGCAAAGGGAATCAGCAAAAGCTCAAGAACATGGTTGATATCACAAGTTCAAACACTTAGCATATTAGGCCGAAAACATTTTTTGAAAGAGGCAGGGGAATCAAGTTTTTTTAAGATTATAGGTTTGACATATAAGAGTGCACAATACTACACAAATTTGGAATGGAGCACCAACCTGAAGGATTTCAAATGTCAATCTAGTATAACAAAAAGTCCTAGCATGAAAGTTCTAATAAAGTCTCCAATATCATATCAACATACCAATGGTGCAGTTTGGCCAATGCATGAAAACTTAACATGATGGAGAATAGGTCGTAGTACAGAAACTTAGGACATGAAAGGGGTATATTAGTTACTCATTAACATACATAAGGGAAAATGGAATGTCTATCCTAAAATCCTAAATGATGATGGGGATCAGGATAGCAAGGAAACATGTTTAGAGTAAACCTTAAAACAGTGTTCCATACAGTTGTGGCTAGTACACAAAGAACAGTCGATTAAACACAAGACTCGGCACTAAATGATTCATTCAAAGTAGAGGGAGGTTTTCATAGGGTTGTAGTAGTATCCAAAACAAGGCATGAAGAAAATTCTGTAACTAACAACATATAGTCACAGCAGTCAGATTCATATCAAAATAGGCACGCATTGAAGCTCAAAACTGAAACGTATTCAGATGCTAGAGGTACGGAAATGATTCCAGAAGAAAACAGAAAATCAACAAAGAAGTGCAGACCATAGTGAAGAATACATACTAGCCTAACACAGATTAAGAACAAAGCAGTAAAATATCTCATATATAATGCATTCAACTATCATAGAATGACAAAGGAGTATTGACCATTATCATAATAGTGCAATATCAGGGATTCACAACTAAATCATGCTTATAGAATTCAAACACATACAGGTATGCTGAAGGAAAGAAAGAAAATTAACATTTTAAGGGTTAAAAGCACTAACCAGTAGCAAAATTATACGAGCAAAAGAATAGTAAAGAGCTTAGTAGCAAGAACCCCAGGTCTCCGATGCTTCAGAGTTCACAAGAGCCTCGTAAGGGCCCCGAGTAGTGCTTGCACCGGAGGAGGTTGATAATACTATGGCCTTGGCTTTTAGCCGGCCAAAGAGCCGAGTATTTTAGAGAAGGTGAGAAAGTGAGAAAAGTATAGATTATAATAGCAGTGATAACTTCTGCTTTTTGAGGGGAATTGAGGAGGGGTTTATATAGTGTAATTGAATGTACAAACAAGGGAAATAACCGATTAAACATAAAATAAGGAAAGAAATCAAGTAAACATGGACGAAAAAAGGTAAAATCCCGCATGCAAGTCAGTAGAGTTATGGGAATTGAACCCTAGTTAGGGTTTTAAACTCAAAATCGGCAAACTGGTATGAAGAATCCAGTTTCTCTTTGTGTATATGGACGGGATATTGTCCAAATCTCCAAGATTGAGTTGATTCTCATCCAATATAGAGGTAGTATTTGCCAAAATTGGGAGGGAGTTAAGGGGAGGCGGCTAGGGTTCTTCAGAAGAGAAAAGAGGAGGTTGAGAGCGTTTAGGGGCGGCGGGGTTAAGGGGAATGGGTTAGGGTTTCAGAGGTTTGGGTAATAAAATAAGGGGAGAAGGTTGTGGGTCGTTGATCATTTGAGATCAATGGCCAGGATAAGAGGAGAAGCGGGGCGAGTCATGGAACGGGTCCCAACCGGGTCATTTTAAAGAGGGTTGTTTGGTTTAGGCTAAATTGAATTGGGCCAAGGGTTTTAGGGTATCTGGGCTGCCTATTTTGGTCTTGAATTAGCCTTGTATTGGGCTATAAATTAAATACACGAAAATTGTTTTTAAAAAATAATTTATAAAAATAATTAATAGATAATAAAATATTATTTGTGCAATAAAATGATTAAAAATAATAACTAAACACTATAAAAATATAAAAATGCTATTTGGCACAAATAATATGAAAAAATATGCTTATGCATAGCACATACGCTATTATTGCAAAATTGTGTAAATAGGCTAATAATGCAGATATAATTGTATAAAATGAGGTAAAAAATATTATGAAACTTATATGTGGATACAAATAATAAGTTTAGATGATTAAATCATTACAAAATAATTTGAAAGGGTAATTAATAGATATTTGAACAATTTAAAATGCAAGAAAATCAATTTTAATGCTTTAAAATTATAAAAAATTATAGAAAATAATTGCATAATTCTTGTAAATTAAATAATGGATGAAAAATGACATTTGAAAAGTCTATATACTATTTGAGGAATGTGAGGTCAAAATTGGGTATCAACAACCGTTAGCCACAGTGTCTGACTCATCGCCACTAACCTTAAATACTGTTCTTACCAACTCAACCAGGTCGGCATGCTCCTTCCGAGCCGTCTCTAGCTCAGCTTGGAGTTTCTTAACCTCCCTCCCCCCCTCCCATGTTGCTCGCTAAGAAGTTTGTAAGTATCCCTCTTCCCAGTGAGCCCTCGAGTTGGTTTAACCCTTCCCGATATTGGAGAAAAGTCTCGTGATGAAGCACCAAGGACTACAAACACAAAGAAAAAAGTTACGATTATTTACGACTTATCCTAAGTACATAATAGAAGTCGTCAAGAGGCATCCGAAGTTACCCGGTTTAACTCCTGCTGTGCTTCGTTGAACAGGCAGGGCGCGTCCACGTCGTTCATCTTGGCTTGATCCTCTTCGGTCACCAGGCGCCGAAGATAACTGGCAACTCCTACAGGCAGAGAGGACCCGGGCATCCTCTAGAATAGACATGATGACCGACCGCTTCCTGTCAGGATTCGCACTCGGAGCTGGGAAACAGTTGACTAATTTCGAACTTGAAGAAGGCCCGCTAGTTCCCGAAGAAGGACTCTTCCTTGGTACCGGTAAGTCACACAACCCGGTGACGTCCTCCGTGGCGGCAGAGTCTAAGACATAAAAAAAGTTGTGAAAGGGGTCTTCCACCCCTTGGGGCCCCTCGTTGGGGCGTCCTCTCAGCATCTGATCCTCGTTGATCATGGAATCAGTAAACGAAGGCGACTCAGAGAGATCTATCTAAGTACGTCCTTCGGGGCATTGTCCTCTGCACGAGAAGCACCGCCGCAGTCTCCTTGTCGGCCTCCCTAACTTGAGGCAAAACGGCCTCGCCCCTCTCTGGTTCGGAGGCCTCGGCCACTGCCTCTTCATCAGCCCCCCTGATTTGAGGCAATTTAGTATCGTCTCTTTCTAGTTCAAAGGCCCCTCGTCCCTCGAACTGCAACCGCACATGGGCCACCAGTTCAAAGGATTATTCTTCGGACTCATCCCTCAGAATTGAGTCCGATGGGGGCTCTCGGGCACTGGTGCTTTCTTTGGATTTGCGCACCAGCCTCCTCCTCAATTTTTTCTTCTCCGAGTTCGAAGAACTCGGAACCCTTTTTCTCTTCTTCTCCTCACCCTGTCTCGGAGCAGGGGACTTGGTGGGGCAATCCTCGTCATTGGATGGAGGCCTCATTGTGACATCCTTGGAAAGACCTACAAAGAAAAGAGAAATGAGTAAGGATTAAACAGCATGAAGGAAACCCAAGTGTTGTCAACTCAAGAAAGGAATCCCAGCGTGAGAATGGGCCCCCTACCAGCCCTTCGAAGTTCGCGCCATGTGCGCTCGGAATATGGCTTTTGAGACACAATGCCCTCGACCCATTCCCTGAGTCAAGGGAATGCATTCGAGACCCGAGCAACAGCTGCACCACAACCAAACACCGATAAGAAAGAAGGAAAAGAGAGTGAAATAAAATCTTGGAAAAATGAAACTTTACTTAAGTTTTGTGTTCCACTTCTCGGGGAACGGCATATACTCCGCTAGGATCAGGTCCGATGTCCTCACTCAGAAAAAACGACCTAGCTAACCTCGACCCCGGTCTTCATCGATGCTCGAGAACGAGGCTTTAGTAGCCCGATGTGCAAGTTTAATTAGTTCCCCCCCCCC